TTCACCTTCCTTAAATGCCCATTTGACAAACAAAGATAAACAACTCTCATGAGAAAGAGCTTGTAAAACATAGGAGTGGAAAGTACCCATCATTGAAGCAATTGAGTTACTGCGTGTTGTCACTATGATTTTGCTTCCTATTGCCCCACCTTTTAACAAGTCTTTTAATATAATCCATTTTGCACGATCGTCATTCCATATATCGTCTAGTACAAGCAAAAACTTTTGCTTAGAAAGCTTATTTCGAAGACGACACTGTAACTGCTCAATATCTAAGTTGTTAATGTTCTCTTGGTAAGCAAGAGGAGCCGATGGAATGGATTCTGAAGCAGAGTTGATGATTTGAATAATTATTTTCCTAACGTCGAAATCATTAGAGACACACACCCACATCTTCAATTGAAAAAGATCATCCATTCTCTTATCATTGAATACCAACTTAGCAAGAGTGGTCTTCCCCAATCCTCCAATTCCCACAATGGGAATGACACACAAACTCTTATCACCATCACCATCACCCTGAGGATGAGGTTGCATTAAAAGCTTAATAATTTCTTCCCTATCATTCTCCCTTCCTATAACATCCAAAGCATCTACATGAGAGAAAGTCATTTCTCTCCTTTGCAGAATAAATCCAGGATCAACACTTGTTGCTGCAAGACCAAATCTAGTCCCATCAGTTGCTACCTTATCCAATCTATCCTTAATCTCTTTGATTTGATGTGCCATCTTTGAACGGAAAACAAGGGGATTAGAGGAAGATAAGAAATGGCTTACCTTCAGCCGAGTGCTGCTAGAAGCTTCTAGAACTTGCTTTTTCTTGTGTTCCAGCTCAAATCCATCGAATACATTTTCAGCATCAGAACAAATGTTTTGAATCTGTCTCGTCCATTCACGCAAGGCATGTTGTTGCTTCTTCTTTTCTTCAGCATCCAGTAGAAGTCCTTTGACAATTGATAGAGTGTCTTTGATTCCTTGAAGATCTTCGTAAACACCATAGGCTCGAGAAGCTTCTTCACAAACATATGAAGCAAGCTTTCCAAGCAATGAATCAGCAATATCAAACACAAATGATTCAGCCATGAATGATCACAACAAAGTAAATGAGGAAAATGCAAAAGTGGTTCTAATTGTGGCTTCAGTTCAGATTCATACTTTGCAATGCATAAACCTAAGTCAACAAACCTAAGTCTACATATTTTATTCATTTCATGGGAAAGCAACTACAATAATACATTATTTAATCATTTGTGCCAAAAACTCTCAAATAACATTTATACTGATTAACTATAGTACGATATTGTTAAGAATTTTATTTTATAATTTCAAGGGACCTGCTACAAATGGCACTGAGAATATTATAAAATGAACAGTTATATCAATGATTAGATGGATAGCACACTTGAGATTATTATAAAATGGTTATTAAAATTACCATTATTAATAATGGCAAGCTGAGTGACACCGCGTATTTTTTTTTAGTAAGTGGGTGTTTTTGGTCGCTTTCAAGTTGGAAGGAGTATAATAGATAGTAATTTTTTCTTTCAAAAGAATTTAACTTGCGTGTTTTAAATTGAGTGTCTTAAGTTGGATTCGAATTCAGGATCTCTCGTTAAACTTGAAGTCAACTTTACTATTGCAACATTATAACTCTTTTAGTGAGTAATTTAAGGAGACGAATTTCATCGAGTTAAAAGTTTTGAACTCTTAAACATTGATTGGTTCATGTTAAAGTATATTGCCTAAGAGCTATCTTCATGTTTATCATGCTTATTCATACTTGCCACTTTAGAAAACGCTTATTTAAAATTCTTTTAAGAGTAAGTTTGAGTTTCTATTTTTAGGAGTTAGTTGGTTAGTTTCTTATCTAGATTGATATATAAATTTGTTGTAATCTCATTTGTTCTTTTGATCTGAATCAATGCAATAACAAATTCTTCTTCAATTGTTGTTGTTCTTCTTCTTCTCCACGAGTATCTCAATATTCTAACATGGTATCATTCATCATTTTGATTCAACCTTACACTTCCGCTCCATTCAACCTCTAATTTTCTAGTCCATCTTCTTCATCAATGGCGTCACCACGAAAGGCTTCAATTCTTGATCCACAACTTGATCAAACTAGCACTACAAGAAAATTAGAGTTTTACAACACAAAAATTGCGACAATTACTTGATAACCGTCGTAACTCTAATATAAAGACGCGTTTCACGACAGTATACACCTACCGCCCTTACATTTTTAAAAGATTACTAAATATTACGATTGTTATCATTAAACCGTCAAAGCAACCACCATCAATTCGAATCTTAACAGGTTTGTCTTCTCAAATCCTAAATTACTTCTCAAACCCTGAATCGGATCCTGGTTTGGATTTTACTCTGAATTTTTATATTTAATTGATTTGGATTTTACTCTGAATTTTGTATTTAATTGGTTTGGATTTTAAGCATTATGTGTTAGATTTCTCTGTTTGAGAGTTAAATTTGAGTAAGAAAAATGGATTATTCATCTGTGTGGACGTGTCGTATCGAGTTTCTTGATGCTGAAGGGTTGCGGTAGCAAATTCTGGTATAAGACCTTTATTTGAAATCTTGTGTGCTGTTAATTCAATGGTTTTGCCCTGAGTTGGTGTCAGGCTCGATTTTATTTTCGGTGATCATGTCTAGCTGCGGCGATTACTTTCTCTATTGTGCTTGTTGTTTGATTTTGAGTCCTTTGCTTGTTTAGGAGTTTAAACTTGTAGCTTGATTTTTGATACATTGTTTATATTTCAGAATATGTTGCATCATATACTTGCAATTTAAATCGAAATATCAGGTTGTGTTATTTTAGACTAGATCTTCTATAGATTTTTTTTGAGAAATATATAATTGTTCATAGTAGCCAAATTAGTGTTGAGATAGAAAAGTGGTAAAGTGAGAATCACTGAATTCAACTACATCACAGTGTTGAAATAACGGCTTCCTTGGTTATCCCAAACTCCCTGTATATTTTTCTTCCTGGAGCATTAAGTAGTAAGCTCCACAATACAAAACACTGTCAATTCTAAGCATTAAGTAGTAAGCTCCATAATGGCAGCAACAATGTCTTCATTGGCAACTTTGAGAGCTTTAACAACTCTTGATCTTGGCACACTAGCTTGAGTCACCACCAACTCGATATCCTTGGGATCAACGTCAGTCTCGTCTACATCTTCCTCTTCCGGAGAAATACCAGAGGACTCTGGCTTCTCTCCAACATTTCTTAAATTAGGAGCCTTGAATTGTTCAGATGCCTGAGTTGGTATGAGTAGACTGTAAATTAACTGATGTCGGTCCATTTCTTGATGAATTGTTGGCATCAATATTCTCTCACCAGCAGAAGTTCCTGAGATGTAGTTTTCACACCGTTTGATTAAGTAATTTACTTTTATTATTACTATTTATTACATCTAGTCATTGAAGCATGATTGCAAAATTGAAAAATATATTATAAATGAAGATTGAATAGAGATATGAATGAACCTTGTGAGAAACTCGGAGATTGGATGAGCGAACAAGATAGGAGAAGTGTCACCGTTAAGTTCAAACTGTTTCAAGTACCCGATATCAGCGTTTTGTGAGAGATTCTTGGCAAGAACATTCTCTTGATGAAATCTGAGTGAAATGAGAGAAGAATGCATAAATAAAGAAGATGTATTTATAGCCACGTCATCTCCGTCCAGGTTAATGTTTACGCTGCCACGTAGGCAAGACGGAGGAAATAGTACATTTGGACGGACGTATAAGGATTTAATGGTGGGTACTGGGTACTCTCACCGTTGAGGCTTCCGCCGCTTTTGCTCTGTCGCCTAACGCTGCTCTTAACCCTCAAGCCATGGCTTCTCTTAAACAAGCACATGTTGATTCCTTTTCACAGGTTGTAATAAATGATAATTTTTCTTTGATTTGTTTATTATAGGCTCTTGCGGGAGGTCCTTTGATTCAGGCTCGGCACTTTGCTGTTATGACTGGAGTGAATGCTGGTATCTATATATTAGAGATAAATGTAGATAGGTTAGTTTGTGTGCATGCATAGGTTAGTTGTGTGCATGCATAAGTTAGTTAGAGTAAGTATGAAGGTAGTTAAGAATGTAACTAACTTCATCGGCTAACTACATTGTATAGATACTCATAAGATAAGGCTTATTTAATAACATGAATTGATCACAAAAGTATCAAGCTAAACCTGAATTACTTTCTGCATGTCCATCATCTTCCTCATGCATAATCATGTTCACCAATGAAGTATGAATTCTCTCATCTAACATGGTATCATACGCCTAAGGGGATCGTGTTTTTTCGCTGCACCATCATCATCATCATCACCACTATCGTCTTCATTTCGACGTTAGGTGCAAATTGCTTCAAAGAAGCATCGGGTTTTTTTGTTCAGAAGTTTGCAGAGCAGAGAAACCATTTTATAATTCCGATGGACAACGTGTGGCATAAACCGTTAAATGAAGAAGATTTAGATAATCAAAGTCATATGTTACATGGTGTGATCCATTCCAATGGTTATGGCCATTTAGTATGTCTTAATGGCATTGAAGGTGGTTCCAAATTTCTCTGTGGGAGAGAGATCATGGATTTATGGGACAAAATCGTGGATTTATGAGAACTTCATCGTCCATGACAGAAGTTCACACATAAAAGAGTATACAGAACCTTAAAGTTAAAGCGGGCAAGGGTCTGCAAAGCAAGCTGTATAAGAGCAGAACCACTAAGCTTTGAAACTTGTTGACTGATATTTATAATTGTTCCTTTACCGATGCTTTTCACAGGCCTCCCTAGATAAGGAGATTTAGAAAGAACCATAGATATATTGTCCAGTAGCTAGTCTTGAATGGTTGGCATCAGAGATGGAATGCTGAATAACAAAGATAGAAACTACTTATAAACTATTTACTGAATAGATGAAATTTCTGTTCAAAGTTGGACTCATACCTCATACTTATTTTCTCAAGAGTTTCCATAACTCATACCTCAGACTTATTGGTACTAGTAGGGCCCATTGCTTTTACTATATTTCCCACACATGCCAAGGCCTCAAGTGAAGGTTTATTCCTACGGGGAGCAATCTGCATTTATAAAATACCTACTGTCAAAAGTTGGCATTGTCATGTGTTATAAAACATAAAAATAACCAACCTTTAAACAAGAAATGAAACAAGCAGCAAGAAAAAAATACGGCTCAAGACTGGCATCAATATTGTAACATACTGCCTCGCGTAAATGAGTACATATGGTCGACAAATAATGGCTAAGTTCCCCATCCAGTGCTAAAGCCATCTCTCCGAGAGCAATAAACCCACTATCACGATCTTGAGGAATTTTCAAGACGGAAATAATATGATTCATTTCATTTCAATAGGCACTCAAGTAAAATTTTGAAATATCATAAAATCCATCATTCTCCTCCCAGTATAAAAATCAATTAATAGGGAAAATTAGCATACAGTTAAATAGTTGGTAACAAAACGATCACGTAGAAAATGTGCAATCCAAGGTAGCAACAAAGTTATGCTCAAGAAAACAAGTCGATCCCGGTGCTCTAGATATCTAACAACAATTTCGGAAACTTCTCGGTATCTTGACATCATGAACTCTCCAGTATTCCTTCACAACCATAATTAGTACCAGACAAGTTAATTCCGAAAATACTGAAAAGATTTATAATTAGAATCAAAGACATATTTTATGATACTACATTAAGTAAATAAAAAAAGATAAACTGATTTCCATAAACAAAATTGTCCTTGTAGAAATTTGCAGATAACAGAAGCCCAATGGGCACAAACTCAATGTTTAATTTCAATTGTACATGCACGTTGACAAAATTATGCCTAACCATTAGGCGTGTTAAGAGCATGTTACACTTTGTCTATAAGTAGGGATCTTGTAAACTAGCTTAGAGTATATTTGACTAGCTTATTTCACCTATCTTGTAAGGTTTTTTCACTAGCTTATAACTTTATGTATACATTGTTTCAAGTAATATTTGAGCTAACAGTTTCTTTTCTAAATTTTACCAGAACTATTTTAATTAACTCCTTTGTCTACCCTCACCCCGCAAAAAAATATTGAATGAGAGGAAAAATGCCACTTACATAATTCATTTCACTTGATAAATATTAAAGGAACTCATACAATGTAATTCCTATTGCAACTACTGTGCACTAGTTATAGTATACTTGCATTATCTAATTGTTTCTGGCTGATTCCTAGTTGTGTGAGTCTATAAATAGACCACACATATTATAATTCAATTGATAATTATCTCTATCAATCAGTAATAATATAGAATTCTAACATGGTATCAATAGAAGCACCCCATCAGAATTTTGTTTAATCCTGAACACCCATTTGCAGCCAATAGCATGTCTGTTAGGAGGCAAGGAAGTGAGAGCCCATGTTTGATTCTTCCCTAGGGCTTGATACTCATTATTCATAGCTGCTAACCACTTAGGATCTTTAAGTGCTACCTTGTAGAAGGTTGGTTCCAGTTCAGTAAAAAGCAGAGTAGGATGTTGCCTTGGTTGAACAATGCCACATTTTCTTCTAGTGGCCATAGGATGAGTGTTGTTTGGATGCAAGAAAGGAAGGCTAAGGGAAGAAGAATCTGAGGAATTAGAAGTAGTTGAAGTGGAATGTTCAGTAGGTGCATGGTCAGAAGTTGCAGATGAGATGTTTTGAGATGTTTGAGATGGAAGGTTCAAAAGGTACATGTGATGTGTGTTGAGATGTAGGGCAGGTTTGAATGGAATTTTCAGAGGATGCAGAGTTGGGGAGATGAATTTGCTTGAGATGATACAAAAGGTGATATAGCTCTGGATGATGAGCGAGGTTTAAGATGGAGATGAGACTGTTGGAATGCTGACAAAATTAGGTGAGATGGAAAAGGGTGAGGAAAGTGTAGAAGATGATGTGGAAGACGACATGTAAGAAGAATTGAGTTGAGGATGTGGGAATCTGATTTCATTAAAAAGAACATCCTTGGAAATATAAATTATTCCATTAAGGGATAAGCACTTGTATCCTTTGTGAGGTTAATAAGGTCTTAGATGTGGGTAGCAGGCACATCCAAAAGCCTTGAGAAATTTGTAATCATGAATTTTGTTATAAAGTATGGAGTATGTTGCAGTGAGACATGCATGATCAAGTATGTCGCAGTGGGACATGCACCATCCCATAACTTCAAAGGTGAGACAACCTTTTTGTAATTGGAGTCCTCATTGTCCATTTCCTGGCTTAGTGTTTAGATCTTTGTCATACTTCCAGAGAGACTAGAATGCTTAGTGGTATTGAGGAGTTTGTTGTTTTTCTGAGTTTCACTGTCAGTTCTTGTGTAGTTTATTAGATTTTCTGATGTATGTAGATAAATAGTTATTGTTTAAAAAAATGAAAATAATAGATATTGAAAGGTTTTCTTCAATACTTACATTGATATCCTGTTTAAAATTAAATGTATGTCTTGGGTTCATTTTGGTTAGTTTGTGATTATGAGGCTAGAGTGTAACTTTTGTCTTTTAATGACATTTGATTATGTTGCTGTAAATATTTGTATTTAGAGTGTTTGCTTTTTTTTTTTATAGGATTTGCTTTGAATTTTAACGTTGTATCTATCTATGTCTATTTTTTGAAGAAATGGATAAGTCATGGATTACTAAGCCACAATCATCGATTGCATATCAGCAAGGGATAAAAGAATTTATTGATTTTGCATTTAAAGGTGCAAAATAAAATGACGTAGTAATATGCCCTTGCAAACACTGCGGTTTCAAAAAATCAAAGAGTAGGAGTGACATGTTCGACCACTTAATGTGGTCACCATTTCCGCAGGGATACACCATGTGGATTCATCATGGAGAGTCCTTTGTTGTACCTAGTACTACTCAAAATATGGTTGAAGATACTATCATTTTCGAAGATCCTATTCATAATATGATAAATGATGCATTTGGAGTTGATATGAATCATGCTAATTGTTGCACCCCAAAATTTGCCCAACCTTTTCTTTCTAACTTGGCTTATGTTTCATATCATTTAGCATTTGCATTTGCATAACATTGGTTCTAGACAGGGGATAAAGATGTTGTATTTTGTTTATTCAAGAGAATAGTTTCATGTTCAAGCTCAAGCAAGGGTATCATTTGCAAGCCAACAAGATATCATCTGTGTTGGGTCTCAAAGCTCCTTGAAGGGAGAAAGTTTGTGTATGGGTGTCATCTCCTATCTTGAGGATCATCAGAGGTTCATGAGGTTATCTATTTGGATGAGGCATGAATCAAGGGTCCAATAGACATCTTGAGGGTTCCCTATGGAAGTTGTATAATCACATAAACCATCTGCAAGAACTTCAGTCAATGGATAAGGTGTTTGGGTTTCATCTGGTCAACAAATGTCAACTGCGGACTTGAGAGGGCTCAAGACTTGGTTATTGATCATTTAAGCCATGAGAAGTCATCCTAAGTTGTCTCTAATGTCATGTTGATATTAAGTCAAGAAGATTCAAGAGTTAGAGAAGTTACTAAATTAGGGTTGCAGATGATTCTAAGTGTAAAATCCCCTTTTTTAGTCTCTAACTTTAAGGACAAATTCCACTATGATACAAGTCTTGTCTCATTTTCCAACAAACATGAAACTTGTTCATCATCTTCCAAGATTTCTTTTGAGTACAAGAACTCATCCATTGGATTTATACATCTCAAGTTATGATGTCAACAAGTTGGTGTGACCAGATGAAGAGAATTTAGAGGCACTCAAAGTCAACTCACTTCCAAAAAGTCCTAGTTGTTCCTCATTGTCTAAGCTTTTCAAAAAGTCCTAGAACTCATAATTCTCATGTGTGGAGCTCAAGTTATGGTCTTCACAAGTCAAGGGTATTTTCGGAAACTTAGTTTTAGGTCTTTCATTTCAATGACCAATTTCATCCACTTCATGACCTCAAATCCATTATCAACAAACATGAGAGTTGTGTCAAATGACCTTAACATCATTTTGACCTCAAATTTCATGACATTTGATGGATTGAGAGATCGTTTAGGTCATGATGAACATGAAAACTTGGCATTTGGACCTAGAATGAATCTCTTCCATTTCAAGTCACCATTTGAATTTATTTTGGATTCTTGGACACCATAACATCATCATATAATGGTCATGCTAGATATTACCCAATTTGAGCCAACATGAACCACATGTCATGACATTTTTTCAAACTTTCATGCCATAAGGAGTAATGGTACAAAACTTGGTGTGAGCTCATTATCTCTAATCAAAACATCCATGATTCATTTTCACACACCCTAATTGCCCTAATTTGCTGACTAAGAGGATTGTACAAAGAGCCATACCCGTGTGCACATGAAAAGAACATTTTGTGGCAAAACTTTCAAGCAAGCAAATTAGCCAACATGGGTCTGCATGAACTTCTTTAACCCATCATATATAAGCCATGCATAAACCCTAGATGAGAAGAAGACAAGCAGCTGGCCAGAATAGCAAGTTTCATAAAAAAGTTTTAGAAAACTCTCTCTCTCTCTCTCTCTCTCTCTCTCTCTCTCTCTCTCTCTCTCTCTCTCTCTCTCTCTCTCTCTCTCTCTCTCTTTGAAACACATTTTTCCTTGGGTTTTTCTTCAAGCTCTTGCTCAATTCATCATCACACGAACACAAGGAGAAGATTGGAGGCTTGAGGTTGAAGCTTGCAAGGCGTTTGAAGAGCCAACGAAGCAGCTCCGTTAGGTAACATTCCATCCTCTGAACCTCCCATTTTAGGAATTTATTTTGGATCATATTGGGTGCATCTAAAGACCTACTTCATGTAGGCAATGTTTGGATCATTTTGGTGCCTGTTTGGTTTGATTTCAGTTTGAGCTTTGAATTTTTGTGGCCTATTTTCATGGTGATTTAATAACCTTTTTCAAAAATAAAGAGTAGAATCGTGTTCTACATGGAAAGAGCTTTAAAATAGTGCCATAGGTTTTGATTTTTATGGAGTTTTTCAGCTAGCTCTGGTGAAGCTCGCTTGAGAAAACGACCGGAGCTAGGGCGTGATGTGTCAGGGTGATCTGGCCATTGACCTTGCATGCGTGTCCATTTGACTTTGAGTTGGCATGACACCTGTTTAAATGAAACGATGCGTTTCACTTGGAAACTAAATTCAGTTGGTATTGGGCTTTGTATTTTTTATAATTGCACCCCCTTTTTGGAGGCCCAGGTGCGTGTTAACTTGAACTCAGTGCAATCCAACATTGCTGATACACCCCTCTCTTGTTCTATTTCTTTTTTTATTTCTTTTTATTGCAATTTCGTTTTAAATCATTTTAAAATAGTTTTAACTTTCACAAAACTCCCAAAAAATACATTTCTAATATTTCAAGATGTTAGGATTTTTTTCATTTTTTTATATTTTATTTTTCAATTATTTTTAGTATTTTTAATTGATTTAATGATTAAAGTGGTTTATGGTTTGTACCTTGAATTGAACTTGATCATTGACCATAATTTAAACACCCCCTTTGACCAATTTTCCTCTCACACTTATGTGTTTGATTGAGGCATATTTGAGGGCTGGTTTGAGGCCTTGGTGATCACTTTTCAATTGTTTTTCATTGGCTTTTTATGGACCTTCGATGGATGCTCGATAAGTGGAACACCTTGCATTGTTTGACACAATTGGTGGTGCTTTGAGTTGACTCTTGCCATGATCTTTTGCATTCTGTTTTGTAATTGATTCAACTTGAGTTGGGTGTTATCTTTGGATTTTATTTGAGCTTGCTTATATTTTTGGTGGATACCTCAAATTCAAGTAGTTTTAATCATGTGTATGCATACAATCCTTGACCTAGTTTTGGGATGTGATCATATATGATCCCTTGGGCATCTCTTAAGCCTTGTTAACTTTTGTTAACATGCTTGAGGTGCTGCCTAGCATGTTTATGGGTCCATTGGATATGTACCTTGTGCCACAAGTTTCATTTGATCATGTTTTTCCACTTAAGTTTGAAGTGTGAGATGTTTAGATGGACTTTGGTCCTCTAATTGAACTTGATCATTCTTATGTTTGCTTTCCAACTTGATCTTGAATTTGAGGTATCTCATTTGAGTTTCACTTCTGACCTTGATTGTCATGTGCTTGTTCATGATGCTTTGGTGATATTGTTTTCACTTTGAAGTTTGCCATGAACAGTTGAGCTTCTCTTGTGTGTTTGGTTGCTTTTCTTTACTTGATCATGAGTAAGTGTTTGGTTGAGATGTTCATGATGTGGTTGCTGCCTCACTCTCTTTCCTCCCTCACTTATTTGATTGTGCTTCTTTGTTTAACAACTTTCTTCTTTTTGATGATTGGTGGCATTTGATTGTAGGAGCTTTCTTCTCTCGTTTCCTGTCATCTTTTCTTGACTTGTTTAAGTCTCCCCTCTTGTTGACTTGTTTAAGTCTTCCATCTTTGTGACTTGTGTTTGTTTTGTTGCATTATTTCATGTTTGCATTTGTGCTTGCATTTCATATCTCTCTTCATCTTGCATTGACTTGTTTAAGTCTTTTATTTCATTTTCATTTGTGATTGATT